GTGAAAACCGGTTTGTGCTGGGGGTTTTTTTGCACCCTAGTGGTGATGTATTAAAGTATGTCTATGTATGCTGTGTAGGCTCTCTTAGATACATACTGATTTTTTAAAAAATGTTTTCTTTTTAGCTAAAGGAGGAAGCAAAAAGGTGTTGGAAGAGGCAGCGACGGTAGGTATCTAGCGTAAATACTGTGGTTTTCTGATGCCGTTGTGCGCTACTGCAGGAAACGAAGGGTTTCTTGAGTCTGTAGGGACGTTGCAATAGCAGAGGCTACATCAAGACTTTCACAAATGCTGCTTTAAGACTTAACAGTAAGAGGTGTCATTTGCATCCAGCATAGGATTTGCATGCTCATGCCGCTCCTTGGCGGCCTTTCCTTACCTGCCTGGTTTCACTCCCACGTCCCTGAGCATGCAGCATTCCTCAGTTATTAAATTAAAGCATTTCTAAATTGGTTGAGCAGCAGGGAGACAGTGAAGCATAAGGCATGTTAGTCCTGGATGGCATGCAGACCTCATGTGATGTTGTCACCTCCAGAATACCATGAAAAGTCCCAGTTTGAGCACAACAGAAAACCTGGAGTTATTCTTGCTATAAAACAGGGATTTACTCTACAACTTTGACTTATCAGAACTGTGTGCTACTGATAATCCTAATGGTGTCATGACTGCTTTTAATTTTAGGCGGACTTGGAAATAAAAGAAATAAACAAGTTAACCGAAGAAGTTATCCAGACTCCTTTAAAGATCATCAAGAAAGGTCAGTTTGTCTTAAGCATTGTGACGAGTTCAGTGAAGTGAAAGCATGTCATAGTTTACATGCTGTGAATAATAATTCAGTTCTTTCTTACATCCCTCAATATGTTTAAAGACAAGAAAACCATCCTACCTTTATCCCTATTATTAAGCTATTATATAATATCCCTATTAATATATCCCTATTAAATAATTCAAGATGGTTCTCTGCCAACCATTTGGATTACATTGGAATTTGGATTTCAGAAGCAAATTACTGCCAAAATGCTTGTGGTTGTTTACTGTTTACCTCCACTGCTAACTAATAATTCAGAGTTATTATTTATTATCAACTTGGATAACACTTTCTTTTTCTAGTGGAAAAATCTAAACAGGATATTGAAGCTATTGAAGAAGAGGCAGAGCCTCCTTTGCTTCCTCTAGCAAAGAAAGCAAAACACGATAGCCAATGTCTTCCAGAGCTAGAAGCTGAAAACATTAATCCAAGAACTGCAAAGGTAAATAGCTACTCTTTCTGATGACATTATTCCCAAGGTACAAACTACTTGTTGAGATGACGTGTGTGACAGTATAGCTATCCAGGATACTTGGAAGGGGACCTACAGGTATTGCTTCCTGAAACATCTAGCGATAGGGGAAGGTCACAGAAGCTTGTACAGTGTTTGTTTCTGGACTCTTGTGCCATAAAAAGGTGCCTATTGAGCCAAACTCTTTGTATGGAAGCATTTGTTTGTTGTGGACTTAGCTGTCAGCAATAGTGAAGTAACTGATTTGGTGAGTAACGTGTGTTTCAGGTGAAGGCATCCACTAAAAAAGTGCCAGTGTCCCGGAGCAGAAGACCTCCTTCAGCGAGAGTGAAGCGCATGAGTAAAAGGTAATCAGGGATATCTTTTTCACTGGGTTTCAGAAATGGAGAATAAGTGTATGGTGCTAAAGTAACTCTTAAATGGAATGGAGAATGGTTTACTAGGCTGGTTGATGTAGTTGTGCTGTGCTATGGGAAAAAATCAGTGATCTGATAGTGAATGGAAGATGGGCAACTTCCTCTGCTGTGATGACCAGCTATCCCTAGCTTTGGGGTTTCCCTTTGATTAGTAAAAACTTCTGGTTTGCTGTGGCAATCACCTCATTCAAGTCGTTGATAAGATACTCTTAACAAATGTGGAAGCACTATTCTGAGCAGGTGTTTGTTTCCCTTTAACAGATCAAGCAAAAACAACTTTATCACTCCAGCTACTGGTAGAATTGTCGATCTCTGTGCTCAAGGAGGTACCTCCATGGTCACGCCCAAGTTTGATTCCAGGTTTGTATTCTGTTAAATTTCCCTGTTAATCCCTTTTATATAGGGGAGTGCCTTGCCATTTGCTTTACATATGTATCTGTCATCTATTTGCAACCTTAGTGGTTCTTTGAACCCGAAATGAAAGACTTTGACTAAAAGTGCTTTGAGCAATTGCAGTGAAATTACTTACCTGTAACTTTTTGTTTCAGAATTTTCAAGACGCCGGGTTTGCGCACACCCGCAGTAAACGAACGTGTTTACACCATCTCCGCCAATGGCAGCCCCCTTGCCGACAGCAGCGATATCTTCATTACAGTCCCTGTTGGAGGAGGGGAGGTAAATCAGAAACTTTGACCTGTAAAATCTATGCTGAAGGGATAGCTTATAACTTCTCAGGGGCCTTACCAGTTCCAGGCCAACCACTCTTGTCTCTTTAGTTGTGCCACTGCAGTTTATCAGGGGAATGATCTTGCTTAAAAAGAACCTTGAAAGATTTTTAGTTCAAAGTGGGAGCTGTTCAACCTGGTCCAAGTAGAATATAGAATGATGTTTTGCTGTGCATTTAAGTAACATTTAAAGTAGCTTCTCTTGGCGGTAATGTGTTAATGCACTGCAAGGAAGGTGTGAGATGAGCTTCTGGTCAGGCTGAATGTAGTTCTCTGCCTGCTTGTGGTCTCCTAGCACGTTCAGATTTTGTTTACTTTCATTTTTTAATTTTTTTACTGCTTCTGACTACAACAGCTGACCAAACAGAAAACCTAAGATTTCTTCTTTTTTCACAGAGCATTCGTTTAACAGCAAATGATTTGACCAGGAAGAATCTTCTTCATCTGAATCCAGAGGCCCAAGGAATTATGAAGAAGCTATCGGTAAGTCTATGCATTGTTGTTGGTCATGACCTGAAGTTGTAAGGCAGCATTGTCGCTCTGTCATTAGTCACTGGATTGTTGAGCTGTCATAGAAGCTCCTTGTTTTTCCCTTGTGTTCTGGCTCGTAGCGGTGGTTGAGAGGAAGCATGAACTGAGAAGGGAAGGAGAGGGAGTAGCTTTACATCTCATCTAGCTTAATACAATGTGGAAAAACCGTGCACTTCTTGAAAAAGATCTATTGTCAATGTTTTGAAAAACTGAATCAAAACTGAAAGTGTCTTCTACTTCAGGCAGAAGTCAGTGGCTGTGGGATATAAGGGTGTCTGTTAAAGTACTGATTCATTTCTCTTTCTTTCTAGGTTCGTCTCGCACAAGCTTGCAGTGCTACAAAAACCCATAGATGAAACTCAATGAATGTTGACATCCCTCTGTAAATACATAATGTTGCGTTTAGGACTGCCACCTTTAGTTCTTGTTCTAGTTTTTGTCTTCCTTCCATTAATTTACAGAATGGAAGTTAAGAACTCTTGTTTTTCTACCTTTAATATGTAATGGGATTAGAATAGGTTGAAAAAAAAAAAATACTTTATTCCTATTTCCTTTAAGGTTGAGACCAAGGTACAGTTATCTTGGGCTTGTGGACCAGCGAGCTGGACAGAACGGCCGTTTTGGTCTCTTGCAGTAGACACAAGTGGCTGGAGTTCATATCTGTCTGGGCAAAGGAAGCAACAAATCAGATTTGTTGTGCTTCCTTCCAGGTGTGTCCTTGCTCTGCAAATGTGCTTGAAAAGTGATGCCTATCTCAGTGTAGTACCTGAGATACCTAAAGGCAAGTTACTGGTGCCTGGGAGTAAATGGAAAGGTTTGTTCTTATAGCAGCCATTGTATTTGTAACTGGCTTTGAGGGTTTTATAGTGAACTTATGCAGTTTATTGTTTTTAAAGAAATAAAATATCACAAGTAGCTTAACTTAACAGAACCAGTGAGACCACTGCTTAACTAGATTACTGAGAGTAATCTTAGAGCTACTGGAGTATCTCTAATGTGAGAGAACTTTGCTTACCCTACACCCCCTTCAAAATCTTTAGGAGAAGCAGTACTCCTGGAACTGAGTATAAACAGGGAAGAAGAAAGCTTGGACTGGTCAAAACACTGTTTTGCCCTTTCTTCTCATCTAAATTGAGTCAATCCAGTGCATCTCTTTGTCAAAGAGCCATATCCAATAAATACTGTTTGAACAGAACAAAATAACTTCCTCAGTCATTAATGGATTTTTTTTTTCCCCCCGTTGCTTACAGAAAATACAGAGAAATCTTGCTCCATCTCAAATTCATGAAAATTCAAGTTTAAATGGGAAAGGGTTACTGTATGTATTTTTAAAAACAAGCAGGAGCACTCATCTGTTTAACACTTCCTTGCAAAATGAAGCAGGGAATAAGCCTTGCATTTGCTTTCCTACAACCACCGTCTCATTTTTCAATGGCCTGGAAAAGCAGAGCTCTCGAAGCACTCTCTGTGGGAAGATGGCATAAAGTCTTAAAATGTGTAAGACTTCTCACTCAACCTAGGGTTTCATTTTTATTGTGAATCTTTGTAGCTGGTACAGGATGGGAGAGGACACTTCTCTTGTTTGTTGAGCTAAGTTATGGAATCCCTTAAAAGTGTGGTTAACTTTGATTCCTGAAGCATTCTTCTGTGTGGATCATACAAAGTCAAATATGTAAAATGGCATCTGCAAGAGACAACCTGATAAGCTTTCCTCTGTTTCAGCAGGGAAGCTAACGTGAGAACGTTTCAATTGGCATGGTAAGAGAGCATTTGGAGTAAAGAACTTTTGCTTCTTTAACTTTGTCTAAGATTTTTTTTTTCTAAAAATAAGCCTGTTTCTTTGTTAGCCGGTGCACTCTCCTTTCCAAAGATAACTTTGTGTCCTTGATGTAAGCCTCTTTGAAGGGGCTGTTCACAAGAAGGTTGAGGCGTTGGGAATTTTCCCACGTTTGGAAAAGTTCTGCTTTTGGCAAAGCCAAGCCTACAGCATGATGAAGGAGGACTGGGAAAAGCTGCTATCAGAGGTAACTTACACTTTGGTGTAAATCTTTGATGCAGCCTGTGGCATGGGAGAAAGTTTGTAGGACAGCATTCGTACATGAATTTCCTTTCCAAAGCAAGCACGTCACTAATGCAAACCTCGCATATATACCACGTATTTGGAAATCACTATTTAAGAGGTTTTGGCAGCTTCTATGTCCTAACTGCAGGTGGCAATATTGTAAACTACTAAGCTACAAGTATGCTTGTCTTGCTGTTGTTGTGTAATTCTGTTAACATTCATTAAAAAAAACCCCAATTAGTTAAGCTGTAAATGAAACCGTAACATGCTGCTTGGATACAGATGTGTAAGTCTAGATTCTGCTTTACACCTGCCTTTACCAGGAAAAAAAATCAACTAGAATGCTTAGCTAGCCTAGAGAATTCTGTTGTTAATACTGTCTGCTTTTAAAAGCTCTGGTTACATCTTTAAGGCCCTGCCTTGACATGCTTGTTACGCTGTCAACCCCTTCGGTCTCCTGTTTAATCTTGAGGTATGGTATTGTTACTTAGTAAATCCAGGAATTAATGTCTTTGCTAGTGCTAGGCAGTAGGACAGTTCCTCTGGAAAAATGAGTCTTGAGTGGTAAGGAGATGCAGATATGACTCGACTGCTTCTGCAGACTTTTCCGAGGCAGACGTGACAGCCTTGCGTCCCTGCCAGCCTACCAGCTCCTCAACAGCAGAGGCATGCCTTTGTTTCTAACTAAATTTATGGGCTTCCCATTCCCAATCCTGGAGGATGAAAGGCCGTATTTGTGCTATTATTGGGGTTAACATGTTATTCATGCCTACAACAAAAAATGCTTGCAAAATGATGTTTAGCGCCTGGAAGATTGGAAGCAGCAGCATCTGTAGGAGTCGGGGGTTGTGGCTGCCTTCCAGTGTGTGCCCGTTTGGGTGGTCTGTGCTGAATTTACTCTGTAGAGTGTGGAGGCAGCACAGCCCAAGGTTCCTCTGCAGAGGTGGCACTGCCCAAGGAAGGCATTCCTGGCACAATGCAACCCACAATGCGGTTTTTCCAATTGTTGGAGTGAGTTAATTGTATCTGACATGAATTAAAGCTATCTGGCAGCTAATGGCTAATCAGATTCATCACCTAAATCCATTTTGCATGCTGCCTGCACCACGCGCTACTCTAGAACATGGGTAAGCAGTATTTCATTTTTCTGCAGTTTTATCGTGTAAATTGTTGGCATCGCTCCTGGCCCTTTTGCACAGTGCACAGCAACCGCGTTTTGTTTAACAAGGCTAGAACCTCCCTCTTCAGCTCAGGGGTTACTGGGGCGGCACAGGGTCTGGCTGACTTTTTTGTGGATTTGGAGGAGGTTTTGTTTGCATGTTGTTTTTCTGGTAACCTGGCTGCGGTCTGAACTACTTTTTAAACTGAGTGATGGGAAACAAAAAGCAGCACGGGAAAAAATAACTTTTCTGTCAGGTTGGAAGAGCCTGCATCTGTCGCTGGCTGGAGTTCAGCCTACAGAGACTGACGTTAGCTTGTGTCATCTGAGCTGCTGCTAGGTCTGAGGCTGTGGGCATGGCTTCAGCGACTCCTCAACAGCTGCTCTCGAGGGGAAAGGCTTGAGGACACTGAGGTGGCTTCTCAGAATATCGCTTTTGCATACGTCCTTCCCAAGAACTGAACTACGTGACCTCCAAGGGCCTGTTTTGTGGTAGTAGGTGGGGCTCTGCAAAAGGAATGAAGTCCCCCATGTTTTGCGGCTGGTTCCATGAGAAAAAGTGGTTTTCCTGTTTGTAATTTCAGTCATGATGAATACTGCCCAGGGCTGAGAGCTGTGGCTTTCTTGTAGGAAGGATGGTTTGGGGAGTAATGGCCATGGTTTGCTAAAAGATTACTGAGCACTGACTGTTTAAGACAAAACTGGTCTGAACCAGAGCTTGTTCAAAGTAAGTTTCCTTTGGGAGAAAGCAAGCTGCAGAAGGAGAGCTGGTGGTACTTTCAGCAGCACAGACCCAGCGTGGCATGTCTGTGTGTCACCAGGGTTTTATAGTGCTGGATAACGACAGTCTTGCAGGGAAAAGAGCATTCCCGCCTTCCCCTGGCTGGCGCAGGGCTCAGCCTGCCAACCCTCCAGGCTGGAGCTCCCGCTCGCACCGAGCGGTGCAGCAGTATATGGGGAGGATGCTCGGGACTCTGTGCTTCCACTACAGCTCTGCTCTGGGTGTGAGAACTCCAAAGTTCAGCCCAAAATCATAATGGCAATGTGAAGCTATTAATCTAGAGAAATAATGAGCAGAATAGGTACCCAGTGAGGTCCCTTCCCCAGGATGTGCTGACATTGAACTCGCACAAAGGGACTGTGTTAGATAATGATCCTAATAGGTGGCTCTTCCAGGCAATTTGATAGATGTGCGCTATCAAGCATTGTCAGAAATAGCTCCGTATACAAAGCAAGCGTTTATCATCGTGGACACCTTGCAGGTGGTCACTGATTCGGTGACATTGTAAGAAATAAATAGATAACAATTCTCTGCTTGCTGATAGTTGGGATGATAGTTTAGAACAAATTAGAGCTGTCTCTAGGCAGTTTTTTTATGCAGGGGTTTTTGATTTGAAGCTGCAGGACAGCACGTGCAACTCTTCCAGCTGACCTGTGTAATTCCACCAAAATCCATGTTTCCTGGGCCAGCCAAAGGCATAACAAGGGGAACAATTCGTTAGCATCACTGAACGAGGCACAGGGGAGTTCATAAGTGATTTCTCTTCTCCAAATAGGTGATTGGGAGAACTGCAAATTCAAAGGTGAAATGGGTTTCTGGAAAGCCCTGCCATTTTGAGTTTAGCTGAACAGGCTGCATCTCCAAATTCTGTGTTCAACTACAGCACCTGCAGCTACCGGTAAAGATACTCTGCACACCAAAAATTCATCCATTTGTGGAATTTGTGAGTTATTTTGAAAAACTGGCACACACATAAGTCTCGGGGGTCAGAGAAATAACAAGAAAAAGGTATTTTCAAAAAAAGACGTTACTTAATTACTCAATAGGACAAATTGACTTTTCAGTATGAGTTCCCACATTTTGGTGAATCAGAGTGGCCTTTTCTCGGCAGGGATGGGTGCTGCCTCCACTCCCATCCCAGGGTGTGTTTCCATGCCACCCGATTGCAGCTGGGACATTACACTGCCTCTGATCTACTTCAATCTTCCTTCCAGCAGCTCACAGCTGAGCAATGTGCAGTTTTAACGAGGCAAAAAAAAATAAATAATTCCATCAGGGACATGTGCCCATGGATCCCAGGTCTGCTGCCAGCTGTGTTCCTGCTTGGTCCACAATTGGCAAGACGTGGCCAGCT